GCATGTATGTAGTCTTCACGCACTTCTTAATTGAATATTCGAAACCACACCTTTGAGCTATTCGAGGTCTGGCCTCTCACAAGTTACTAGGTAACTGTCTTAGGTACGTAAGCATAATTAATTATAAGGGTTGTAGAGATTTTAGGTAGTAGTAGATTCGATTTCGGCGTCAGGTGATTCAGACTTATGAACCCGACGAGTAAGCGAATAAGGTTTTCATGAGTCTTTGGGTTTTCGTGAGTCTTGTCTACTTTGGGGTTCGCTACGTTACCGAATGGAGTGGACTCCAATAATTTGAGCTAAATGCACCCTAACATATCCTAACTATAAAACCTAAGAAAATCAAAATGCATAAATAAAAAACAGTATAAACCTAGGATTATAGACTACTGTAACAGACTAACAGAACAATAGATTGCCTCTATCCTATCTTCCTATTTACTTCTACTACAAGTAATGATCTTTTACCTAGTGGATCTTAACCTTTCTAGGGTAGCTTCAGTGCAGGGCGTAAACTCTCGTAAAAGTTACCAATTATTACAGAGTAGTGTCTGGGACGAAGCGTGTCCCTGTTTCTCGTATCATCGGACCGATACCCGTCTAATTTGTATAAAACACCGAGGTAGTTGTCACGAATCACGTGCTCACGTGATACTTGTCATAATAAGAGGCGCAACCCTCGACAGGCACATCCAGGTTTCTTATAGCAAATAGGGATCGTTTGGAGTAGCTAAGCGATCCAGGGATTTCTTTGTATTGTTATCACGTGACCAGTAGTGGTCGCTTGGTCGCGAGCGACTACAACGGCCAGGTCGTCTTGATCGCGGCGACCAGCAGCGATCATAGGAATCAGGATTCTATATAGGACTGGCACGTCTGCCATTAGATAGGAGCTTCGTGCTCAACTTAGTTATCAATCTTATCATATTAGTTTGACATCTTTGGTACAAGTAACGAGTTTACTTCCAAGTGAACAACCCGATAGTCTTCTTCTTATCATAGCATACCAACCAGCGAACACCCAGCCAAGTTTAGTTAGCCAGTTTGAGTATTTGTTACACTTATAAGTATAGCTTCTTTTCTTTAGAATCTAGGATTTCTAATAAAAGGATGAAGTTATTTTTAATAATGAGTAAATCTTTAATAGTAATAACTATAACAAATTCTATTAATTCGAATATCTAAAAGGAATTAAAGAAACTGAGAGCTAAGCTTACTTAAAATAAACCTTAGCTATTTACTTAGAATAATAGCTATTATATAATAAGTTTATCTCTATCTATCTATTACTTTTAGATAGTAACTATAATAACTCTTTTATAGAATATAAGAATAGTTATAGTATAACTAATAACTTATATATTATATATTATATATAAAAGTAGAAGGAGTTTATTATTAGATAAGGATTTTTTATAATAAATATAAATGAGGGGGGAACTTTAGAGGGTACTTATAAAGGTTATTTAAGGGACTTCTTAGTATTAAGAAGATTAGAGTATAGTAGGATTTCTTTATTTAGAGGAATATCTTAGGAGACGTCTTTTATTATTTATATAATTAGGTTAGAGTTAGGTAGCATAAGCTATTTAGACCTTGCTTATTATATAGCTAGATAGTTATATATACTATAAGGGATTAGTAGGAGAATTAAGTAGATTTTATATTATAATATTTATAAGTATATATCTTTATTAGAACTATATCTTTAGTATAATATTTAAGGTTTTATACCTACTATTAGTATACGAAAATATACACGCTAGGGATAGTTTTGTATCCCGGGACTGCCCGCGGCGGGTATTAGATATTTTCGTATACATCTGGCCTCGATTTCCCAGAGGGCTTCATTTAGCTTTACTCGTAGAGTCTGTATTATACTCCGTAGGTAGTATAAGGTCCTGTCGAAATTTCACGTGAATATACCACGTATATCGTACTACAGAGAATCTCTATATAGGTGGTCCCTATTCACTTGAATCTAATAATAGATATATCTATACTATCTACTTAAAAACCAGTCCTAAATACTACATTTTGATTAGTTAGAAAATCCTCTAGAATTCTATAGAACTCCTAGAATTCCAGAGACTAATCGATAGAAGTATTCTATTCTATTTTATAGGTGCTCTGGAAGTATTCTATATAGAATATTCCACCCGGAATTCCATGGAATATGGTTCCATTTGCCGAACGTTGCACGTGAGTTGGTATACATGAAAGCCTGAGGAGCGAGTTATCGTAGGGATCTTTCTCCCCATTGTTACAGTAGGGGTAGCATTTTGCGGATCTTCAAGCCATTTAAGCCGTATATCTGAGATCATGAAATGGCAGGTAAGATTACTCTGCAATGAGAAATGAAGAGTGTGGAAAGGTTGGAGGAGGGTATATAAACAGCACGGGAATCGTTTAGCCTATACTACTGTCATTCAAATCCCCAAATCATTGGACATTAACTTTTGCGCCATGACCAGTGTTACTCCTTGTATTTGATAAAAAATAACTCAAATGTTTTACATTCTAAATGCAGCGCTTTCTCTATGTCTATAACCTCCCCCCCCACAATTCATTCACATATCACAATATACCTTTAACATGTTGCCCTCAGTCAACTAGCACAACCCCTTTTCAATAATGCTTCACAGCATTCGCTTCAGTCATCAACTCCCTGACCATATTGGTATCAAGGTACTCGTGGATCTCAACGATCTTTCCACTCTCAAAAGAGAAGAAAAAGTGCCAACAGAATCTAGGAAAATTAGCAAATAATTCTGCTACTTGCATAACCAAGAATTTGCATACCTATTGCTGTAAGGCTGCCCGTTGAACTTTCTGATCGCGTGGCCGGTCGCTTCCATGATTGCGATGTTCCTCTCGGGAATCACATACATGTATTCCACTGTGGTATTTGGTGGAGATGTCAATTGTTCGATTAGAGGGGTGTTGACTTCAGTATTCCATTCGGAAGCATTCTATGCACAAGTTCAGTATTCGGCTTGCAGGATCCAAAAAGAAGCTAGGGCTTACTCGAATTCCAGTCAAAGTGACATCGCTTTTGACGTCATTTGCAATCCACCATCTAACAGCTGGGTCAAGTGTCTGTCCGAAAAGAGTCGTGTTTCCAGTAGCAGCTGGGTCCATGAGCTCATGCATGAATTCTAAGGTGAGATTGAAAGCCATCGACTTTCCAAGGAACATGGAAAGTCCGGCTGCAGCGAGAATTGAAAAGCGCATTTTGAAGACAAGCTAGGCTGCGACTAAACGACAGGAGTTGAAGGCAAGTAATTATGTGCTTGAGTGATGCAGGAACGTGCGGTGGACCTGCCAATTTATATACACATATCTCGGGTCTCAGAATCAAGCTTTCTGAGCAGGCAATCACAAACTCGTTTACTATTTCTAAGAAAACAATTTATATGACAGTACGGTCTTCTAGTAGATATCCCATTGAAGAGATCCGGAATTCCGTCGTAAGCCACAGTAAATTTTAGCGAGGAGAAATGGTTTCGTAAGCTTACTTGGACGCGTATAAACTTCATACTCAAGACCGGTCCACCTGTAACGAGAACAATCTCCTCGTATCACCATCACACAGGCTACGGCTTGAATGAAGTACATGAATTATAGAACCGGATCAAATCGGTAAGAAAGGTATAAAAGGAGAAGGAATGTCAGGCACGATATTGATGGACAGGGGGCGAGAAGCAAGACACTAGATCACATGCTTCACTAAATCAACAATATTGGAAGGCAATCACATCGAAACAAATCCTCTTTGGGCTTTATTTCCATGCAAAAACCGAGATACTAGGCTGAATTATGCGAGTCTGGAGCTGTAGAAGCGTATGAGTAAGTTCGGCTCCCACCACTGCGGCGTAAATAGTGTAACCATTATAATGTAATACTCTTACTGTATCTGAGTCACGAGACTTCTGTGTGGCAATACTTGGATTCAGCTGCGAGAATTTATCTGTTGCGTTTACGAAAAACAATTAACGAGTAGATTGGATCAGCAAGGTGTCTTTTCGAAGGCCCTCCAAAACTGGCATTTCCTTCATAAGGTGGCTATGAAGGGCGTGAACATCCACTTAATTAAGTTGAGTGGCATGCTTGACTTGTAATAAAGCGGAATCTCCATGAATTCTTGCGCGATAAGTTCATAGTTTGGTGGGGGGAGTAAGGGGGAAGCCAGCTCAAAGGGCCGGGAAAGGTGCTGACTTACTGGTTCTCTCATCTTAAGAATCTTGGCCTGACTAGGTGTAGAATAAAACTGCTTTAAATTCAGCTGACTGTTAGTATGAAAACCATGTTAAAATATCGAGCAAAGGTATTGAAACAAATTCAAACTTTGCATAATAGTCTATTGTAATCTAGCTAAAGACATATATGGAAAGCTTACGATTACCTAAGGTACTAGTGTATAAGTAACCAGCGCTATACGTGAATAGGTTGCACCAAATAAGGTGTAATACATTACAATAATACTGTTAGAAATGACTGTATCTGCATCATTTGTTACATTCTCAAAATTGCGAGTAGAAGTAAATAAGGTACATGACTACGAACGGGGCTGACTGCCTTGCCCCTGAGGCTCAAATCAATAAGCGAGGATTAACGCAATTTAATTAGCTCGCTAAACAGGCTCTGGTTCCGAAGAAGTGTCGGACCAACCATCTCCGTCAGGAATAGTACTACCATCCGCATATTGCAAGTACCAAGTCGGACTTTCCCAAATCTCGTAATCATCATATTCCCTTCCATAACCATGCATCCTCAGGACCATAACTCTGAAGAAATATCGTCCTGGATGAAGGTACTTTAAACCATCATCATATCCAGCCCAAACCCACCTCTTACTTCTTGGAAAGGGTGTTGATGGATGCTCTACCAAGTCTAATTCTAACTTCAATTCGTCCGTTTCGAATTCGATAATACTGATGATATATCTACCAGATGGGATGGTGGTTTTTAGAAATACCCCGGGGCGTATGCCTTCCTGACATGTTAACGGAGGACGCACCGTAATGTCATAGTAGCAAAAGAAAGTTTGGTCCCGCGTCCATTCGACCCATATATCTTCACTGGTCACCCCAACTAGCTTTGTTTGTTGTGGATCAATCATAGGAAGCTCTTTTAATTCACCTGCAAATCCACCGTACGGGAGGTTCAAGACTTCGCCGGGTCCGAGAAAAATGATATATCCACCAAAGTAAACTCCTCGTGTATCGATATCTGGCAAACCAGGGTCCTTTGTAACGGAGACGGTAATCCTTGCTGATTCACCTGGAGCGATAGTGACTTCCCCTGGAGTGATCTCAACAGTTGCATATGTATTGTGTATGTCACCCACAGCTCTCTTGAATGTTTTGGCTTCGAGGATATATCCCGATGCAGCAGGCAAGTGAGTCATTTTATACTCTTTCGGCTCTGGGTGTAGATGTGATATTTCAAAGCTTAAGGATTGCCGATTCTTTGTATCGTTGAAATTTAAAGCTGTCGTACTAATAAGTGTTTGTGAAAGTGCAGCATCAAATGCCTGCAGCCTGCCTGCGCCCTGCTGAAACACGGGAGCAAGAAATTCTTTCTTATTGCCTACTCTATCGCACCACTCCAGGGGTAAGGCTGTTGTGGCAATCGCGGCTTGGATCTCTTGAGAAGTGGCTCTCCTGCCTGACATCAACATTTTCTGTTTGATAAGCGCAGCGGCTCCAGCATAATAGGGGGTCGACATGCTAGTACCGCGCGTTACTTCCCATGCAAGACCTGCGCGGGGGAGGGGGGGCGTCGCAACAAGCATATCTCCGCCAGGAGCGACGATATTTGGTCCTACTCGGCCATCGAGAGTTGGACCCCAGCTCGAAAACGGAGACATATAGTCTCCAGAGTGAGTATTCTTCACTTCCAAAAAGGTAATGTCGTTGTAGCTTCCCGGGGGAAAGTTAATAGTCAATGGGCCTCTTTTGGTGTCCCAGATGCGGCGCCTGATTTCTCGGAAATCTTTGAACGTGACGGTCACAAAATGCGAGGCCTTCTCCTTGGTATCTGCCTGGCTGAGTTGAATAACTTGCCCCGTATTGAGCGTAGAGCGTGCCATTTTAGCAGGGAGATAGTAGAGGATGTTGCGAATACCCAACTTGGCTGTGAGGCGCTCTTGGCTTTCGTCGTTGCTCAACCAGCAGTGCAGAACATCAATCATCAGGATGGTATCCTCGGGCGCAGCCGGTATTTCGCTGGCATCCTCTGGCAAAACGTTGCATCCATCGGGCAACAATTCCGCGTTGGAGGGGAACCACACCGTTAAAGGGCGCCCAGTGAGCTCGAAGTTCTTGCCAGGTGAGTATTGGACGGTGGATCCATCACTCAACGTGGCCTTCATGAGTAGATATGGCGTGTTGATAATGTCCGACGACCCAAGTGCCACGGCGCCTACGCCCGTAGCGCTCGCAGCGATGTCCCAGATGCCGTCCGTCCGTCCTCGATTTCCAACGGCAATAGAGAGGAGGATGCCCGACGCCGCGATTCTTTGCACCGTCATAGCAACCGGATCCTCATTCCATGTGGGCTTTGCCCCGTAGGAAAGAGAAATGATATCAACCCCTCGGTCCGCCGCGTGTATAAGCCCGGCAACCATCTTGTCTGACGACGCTTGCTCTGCACACCGAACCATCTGGATCAGCTCATATGAGGCCTCCGGCGCAACCCCAACAAACCCTAGTGGCCTATCCCATGAATTATCGCTATTGGCACCAAGAATACTCAATATCTTAGTCCCATGGTCGCCCTCGGGACAATCGGCTGGTACGCTCGCTAAGTTAGAGCCGCCATCGATAACGCTGTATTGGTACGCAATGGTCGTCCTCGAGAAAATCGACATACCCTCATGGTTGAAATCGCCATCAATAATCGCAATTCGAATGCCTTGCCCTTTAAGCCCTTGCTTATGGAGTTTGTCTATGCCCGTCGTGCCATGAGCTGCAAATGTAGGTTCGGGTGCTGCTGGGGGGTCCGCTCGCTTGTCCCATGGTTGTCGCGTCTTCATTCTCGGGCTCGTCGTTCTTCGCCTCAGGGGTACACCACTTGGGAGGCTACTTGGTAGCGGCTCCTCGGGATTTTCTGGCGATGGCAGTGGCGGCTTATCGTCCTCTGGCTCTATAACCTCACTTTCCTGGTCGGGCAAGTCAATCTGCCAGACATTCGCGACATAGTCCATGCCTTTTAAAGCCGCAAGAATGTCGCCTATAATAACAGCTTCATTATTTCCTTTGGATTCGCATTGGGCATCGAACGATCCCCCGACAAAGAAGAAGGAGTTGAATGTCTCCCGCTGTTTTAGTCGGCACTTATGCGGTGCAGCAAGTTTGGCTTCATATCTCTACCATGATAGGACGTGTTAGTCTTCCATGCTGTAAAGGTTGTGAGGTTAATACGCCTAGATTGCCAGACCCGACGATCATTCGTAAAGAAAAATGAACTTACCGCTAAATCCCAACCCAGTCCAGGCTTCTCCTCGATCATCCAAGAGGTCTTAAAGATTGTCGTGGGATCATCTGCAAAGACGCGGGTAGCCAGTATCCAAAAGAGTGTGCTAAAAAGAGTGTTGTGGGTGAGGAAAGACATTGCAGATGGTAATTGCAAAAAGAATGTGGCCTGGTGGAAAGAAACGAATATGTAAACATACCGTGGACCGCCGCTCCAGCGAGTGGTCGTAAGTATAAGTTTTCCACCTTTACGAGCAATTAAACGTCTATATACAAGCCAAAGCCTAATATACAACGACGACCTCTTTGAAACATTTTAATAAAAAATAAATACTAAGGCTTAAGCCAATTGATGAACAGGCTATCTCTAATTTTAGTTTACAGATCTATTCTGGTTCTCACAAAGCAGGCATTTCCCGGCCTTTTTAGGTAAGAAAGACTATCTAATCACTAATACAACGAAAGACCCTGCGATAAGTAACCAAACATCGTTGAGAACCACTCTCGGTGTTCCAACGCAGGTGACGAAATCTGCTCGCGTCATAGAAAACCAAGCTTTCCCCCCCTAGTCTAATCCAATGGAATCGATTATTTGGGAGACAGATTTCGCTTAATTCAAGGCCTGTCTAGGGCGGTCAGTGGCGGTCCGAGAATGCCGACACCCACTTTTCCAAGCGCACTGGCCTACTACTAGCCACACACGTGCCACAACCACTAAAACTCGCCCTGATAAATCATAATACAACAAATTTTAATAATAGCATAGAGCCTCTTATTAAGGCCTGTCACTTTTCCCACGGGCCAGGGAAGTTAGGGTTAGGGCTAGGGTTTAGGTTTAGGTTAGGAGTTAGGGTCAGTGGAACATTCTCACTAAGTCCACTACGTTGTGGCTGTGCGTGCAGTGTTTAGCGAGATCTGTCTCCCAAATAATCGATTCCAATCCAATCCTCAATAACGTTGAAGAATCCCTAAGCGAGCTCTGCGTTGATTGGCCGAAAAGGAATGATTGGTCACATGACCATTGTACAACATCTGAGCGAGGACTTGGGAGCCCCTTGGAGAAGTACCAATATGACTAGATTGTCCAAGACTTGGTTTTTACTAATTTAAATGTAACTACTACGAATGTGTATCACGCGTCAAGATAAATATATGAGGAGGAATAGCGAGTAGGGTAAGTACGTATTCCTTAACGGGGACGGAAACGCGAAGGTATTTCCACACTGCACAGCTTATTACTCGCTCTGTAAAGTCGCTATTGTGTTAGTCACCACTCCTCTAAAGGTTTAGAGCAGGCTTCCTCGGTTTTCCCTCGCATGGCGTGCCCGACTACTGTACATAATAAAACTTTTAAAAAATTGACATCTTCAATTTGAGTTACAGTGATTGTTATCAGTTATTACAGTAACTAGTCTTTGTATTTCTACTATATCTTATCTTTGTAACGTGTAACTTTACGGAGTCGGGGAATGGGAATCCTTTTGGGGGTTAGGAAACTCGGCTGGGTTTTCCGCCCTCATAGAGTACCGCTAATTTCGTAATTATCAAGAATAAGTCGCAGCTCGAGATTTTCTTTGAAGCCGCACTAACCCAGTCTGCACTAACCAAGGGAAAACCTGCAAGTTTGAAAATGGTAGGATATCACGATTGTTTATAGAGCACACATCAATACTTATGCTACAGCAGAGCATTTTCAAGTAAGATCTTACAAGTGATATAAGTTTCACCTTTTGAAATAGGTACCAAACGTGTATCTCGAAAGGTGATATTACACTCTCAATTTTTCTTTAACAGAGAAACTTTACATTGAGTCAAAGACAAAGAGAAGCGCACCTCAAAATGTCGCTTCCTTGTTTTAGAACAAGGCCAGCTTCGAACAATGAATGGTTCTGTTATTTCACAAAGGACTTCTTTCATATAGACGCTAGAACGAATCAATTGAATTTCATATTTCATCATTCCTTTCTCTCCTATATTTTAGATTTAGCGTTATCCCAATCAAAAAGATGGAAAATACTGCTCGAAAAGCCACAGCAATGAATGGACTCAAAAAGATGTTTTCGAAGCGCAAGGATCGGACAGATTCCGAACCTTCTCCAGTGGAGGAAGATTATGAACCACCCGCATGTAGCTACGAGTGTGCTCCAGACTGTAGAAAGATTTATCAATACCAAGAACTAAGCATTGAGAAGGTTCTTCCACCGAAGCATCCTCGAATCTTTGATGCTTGGAAGGAAGCTATTTCTTCGAGCCCTCGTCCTCTGGAGAAGTTTTCCTATTGTCCATTGGAGTTCAGAAGTTTCCTGACTATACCCCATAGCACTTACAAGTTCACCGCCGAGCAAGAACCCCTCCTGTCTTCGGCGGTTCCCGAAGTAAACACTACTACTGAGCTATCCGACCTACTCATGGCTTGGACCGATCTCTTCGACGCTTGGTTTTTCGGTGGTGCCCTCAGTGATACAGACCTTGTCATTGAGAAGAGCAATATCTCCGAGATAGGGCTGGGATGGTACGAGAACCCAAGAAACACCATTCACATTAAACTATTGGATAGAGTTCGCGATCGTGAACCAGGATTCACGGGAAGCCAGGAGCACTTATTCATTGGTGTCTTATTACATGAGATGGTCCACGCTTTCGTCTATCTATACTCCTGCCCAAAGTATTGCTGTAATGTCTGTTTTAATCCCCCATTGGGAGGCAGAGGGAAACTCGGTCATGGTCTGGTGTGGGCAGATAGCCTAACTTTGGTTAGCGAGGTTCTGAGGCGCAAGGTGAATTGGCCGGTATTTGTTAATATCCCGCGATCGGTTGCGCACTCAATGTGCATAGAAGATTGCCAACCTAACAAAGCTCAGCTGGAATCTTGGGGGATGGATGTTGACAAGTGGGGTCGCGTCGAGAACTGGAGTCATCTCTGTGAATTCAGGCGTGAGTTTTATGAGCGGGCGAGGCACCCGGGAAAACGTTAGAGCCCTTTTTTTCTATTTTTATGGAGTCTCTTCAGAGATTCAAGTATTTGATATGGGAGTATCGAGAAGTGCTCTCAACATAGAGCTCTGAACATGGATCACCAATGTATTACATGCTTGAAATATATACTCTCATCTGGATTACAAATTTATTGAATCAAATTATCTGCATTATTTATCAACTCTCAATAACCGACATTAGTGAACAAATCCCCAAGTAGTTGTGTGTGTGTGGAAGGTGATGTTATCAAGTTCAAAAATCTGCAATTATTAACCAAATTCTCACGAAAATCGAGTAATGAGTGTCGATAGAATAGGAAAATGCGAGATTAATTACTATTCATTCTGGTGAGAAGACTCGCTTCCAATTTGGTTTATTGACAATATCACGTGATTGTACTCAATGACTATCTTTGTGGGCTAAAGAGTAAACAAATAGTTGGTGTTCTGATGAGAACTTACGACCAATCAATACTGAAGATATGGGAGACTCATATATACCTTAATGGGGGACTTCTTCTAGAAACGTGCCCAAAAGCGTGATAGCCTTTAGGTCCCGTCGGGACCATCCGTTTATCGGCCTGGGCAGGTTCCTGGTAGTCCAAACAAGACCACCCCCGGACAATCACCCGGTGGACAAGAAAGCGACAGAGAATCACTTTTTACTACTTTATTAGCATAGCTATATTGCAACCTTCTTTCACTTTTGGTGCTTCAAACTATAGACTCGTAAGGAAAACCAACTGAAATCTCACCGAAACCACTTAAAAGTCCCGAATTATTTCAAACAGATTTTGGTTAACCGAAAGATAAAGGATCTCTGCCAGCCTCAGGTAGCTTTTAAACCTCTAAAGTGCCCCCACGACACAAGATATTACGAGGAATGTATACAATGAGATGCAAAGTCGTCAATTCGTAAATCTTTCATCTATCTCTAATCTGAAAATAACAATCTATGTCTATATAAAGGCAAGGCATCAAGCCAACTTTCTAAACACCAAAACAAACAAACGCATGGGTATCATTAAAAACGGTAACAAAACGCCAACTGAACCCAGAAGAAACATTTATGAAACACATGCAGCACCCACGATGGCATCCAGTGCGGAAGATTGAGTCTGCACTGTTGCTTTCGAGTCAGGACCGCTCCATACCAAGCCGAGTTGATTCGAGACATTATCGTGGGCCCAGATGCTGTCTGCGTTCTTTTGTAGGAAGGTTTTATAAGTATTGCGAGTCTCGGCCGGAATGGCAGCGCGATTGACGAGATACTGGATGTTGCGTCCAAAGACACCCTTGAATTGTTCCATGTCTGCATTGCAGGACTTGGTAGCCTCACATTTCTCGTGCAGGATACCGTTCTCGTCAGTAAGCTCCTTAATACCAGCCAAGGCCCAGGAAAGCTCAGCGAGACCGGAGAGAATGATTCCTTGATTGTAGGAGAAGACAGGATTGCCATCGTTTTTGCAGGTTTGTAAGTTGAGACCGTTGTTGATCAGGTTGTCTTTGTTGATCAAGCCGAATTTAATAAACCAATCGTACGTTTTGACGGCTTCTTGGTAGTAATAACCTGGAGATGGAGTTGTTGGGCGACGGTTGGCAAGTTTGGCAGCTGTAGTGATGTAAAGTTCGTTTTCTACAGCTCCGTTTTGGATTTCCGCTTTATCCCACCTGATTTAATGTCAGACGCGTGGTCAATATATGAATGAGGATAACATACCATAATCCACCACAAGTTGCTTGACCCCAAACACTTTTGGAATCTTCAAAGATTTGCGCCGCCACGTCGAGGTAGTGATCATCTTTGGTGACATCGTAAACTTTGATCCATGCAAGAGCCCACCACAAGTCATCATCGTAGAACCATTAAGAAATCCGGCGAAACCGCTGGAAATAGGTGCCATTTTGAGAGTTGTTGGATAGACAAGACGTGTGGTTGGCTCTACCATGTGAGGGAAATATTCTTCGAAATCGGCCATCATGGTGACTACATTCGCAGATGGCCACCACAAATTTCCCCACAAACCAGTTGCGGCGGAATACCAAGTTTGCAATTGGTTGATACCAGCAACAGAGTATGCCACATATTCTTGAGTTGTTGCTCGGCTTCGTAATAAACGTCCGATTTGTTTCCAGTGTGGGTTTGCACTTGATTCAGGAGCTGGGTGAGGGAGAGCCAAAGAGAAATTGACGGCCGCAAGAAGGATGACGAGAATTTGGGATGTTGAGAACATTACGAATAAAAAAGGATGTGATTTTTGAACAAGAAAAACATCTAGTCTTATGAGAATTGAATGAATGAATGGCAAAGGAGTGTGGGCGCTAGAAGCGGGTGAAGAATTCTTCAATATTGGTTTGGGGAGTACTCAAGTATATGTACTCGTTCCTTTGAAGATATGCACATGGCAGATACTGCACTTGCGTATTACATCCCATGCTCTTCAATGTGGGTAAGGGAGATTTGCAGCACATGAGTCCGCACCGATTGAATGAAAGAAGCGGACCTAACTGGCAACCATGAAAAGCAAACGAGAAGTCCTGCATTGCATTGCTCAAAACCCACAAATGATGTCTAGCGAGCCGCCGAGCAAAGACGAATACAGGTTCAGCGGTACAGGCGCCCCAGCCCACTGGTTGAATGCATGACAATTCATCTAATCGGGAAGAGATGAGGGCACCCCTTCAACCTCTCAGTGATGACTCCGGCGAGGATACCACCTGGTACGTATCAGCAGCCAAAAGCAGTGGGCGAAAAGTAGCAAGGAAACTCGGTTCACTGGTTGTTTGAGAAGTTTGACGTCCTTTATCAATCCTTAATTTTCTAGATCGCCAACACAGGACGGGCACAAGGGCCGAGACGATCCGGCTCCGGTATGATCGACGTGTGCAGGATCACCTAAATATCTGCGCTCGCGACCCAGGTCAATGCCGTCGGCGGCAAGTCTACAATTTCTCCATCCAGAGTCCAGGTTTCTTGCTTCTGAGAGTTGAGATGAACGCTGATCCTCAATTGGCGTGGAAAGCTTGTTCGGATCCAGTGAGCTTCGCCACGTTGATGGTGTCAGGATCATTCTGAAACAATTCACCCCTGAAAGATTCTACGTAGGTATGGCAGCCAAAAGAATAAATACGGAGTAAGACAGCTCAGTACTGTGGGTGGATGAATTGTAGCTACGCAATATACAAAACAACCTGAAAATGTTCCACCGATTGTTGTATAAAAGTATATCTCGTGGTACTGAGTTTTGTGATGGAGGTTAAGGTTGCTCGCTTGGGTTTGTGTCACCGGTGCGGCTCTATTGACTCCCACCTCCCACTCTTCTGGATGCACCCTCCTATCATCGGTCATGACTCTTACTGTAAACGACTGACTCTATTTTAGTTCTGCTTATCGTGACTTTGTTTTTCTCCCCAACCAACATTCCTTCGTCTTCTAACGTAGTTTTAGACATACTCCTCGAGGGTTTTTTTTCGGTCTCTATCGCTGTCTGCTGTTTTGCGCCGCCTGGGTTCACGAATAACTTTCTTCACACTATCTCACTGACCTACATGCTCCACCGTCGGTGTCGATAAACTACATATACTACGATGGCTGCAACAAACGGCACCGCGGTGCCAAGAGCAGGGCTGACTCTAGCCATTATCGGCTGCGGTATGTCTTGTGTCAACTCTTCTTCAAATCCTGAAATCTTGTCGTCACAACTTGACAACACAGAATGCTGACTTGTTTCAAGGAACCATGGGCTCAGCCATTCTTTCCAGGGTCATGGAGTCATGTGCAAAGTCGGTGGCCGCAGGCGAAAAAGCTAGGATTTCACACTTCATAGCAACAGTATCCAGTCAGACTTCTGCAGAGGCCTTGCAAACGCGATTTTCCAAGTTTGGGGATAGCTTCAAGGTTTCTCGCGACAATGTTGCCAGTATGCAAGCTGCTGATATCGTCATGCTTGGTTGCAAGCCTTACATGGCAGAAACCGTGCTCAAGGTTGCGGGAGTCCGTGAAGCATTGCAGGGGAAGTTGATCATCAGTGTTTTGGTTGGATCTCCAGTGGAAAAATTGGCAGCATTCATTGATTCAACCGCACCAATCAGCGATTTCTGCATCAAGAGAGTGATGCTTAACATCGCGGCTGAGTTTGGTGAATCCATGGCTGTCATCGAAACCACTTCAATGCCCGACTATATGGAAGAGGAGTCGGATTGGATCTTTCGCCAAGTAGGCGTTACTGCTCCAGTTGCTCCTGAGCTTTTTGATATTGCGGGCATTCTTGCTGGTCCCGCAAGTGCATATCTGTCGGTGGCTTTCGATGGTATTCTAGATGGGGCAGTGAGCCAGGGTCTCAAAAGAGCTGATGCGAGAAAGATGTTGACACAGTCGTTGGTTTCCCTCACCAAATTGTTGGAAAATGGGGAACATCCAGCTGTGTTGAGAGAGAGATATTCTAGTCCCAAAGGCACGACTATTGCCGGATTGTTGTCGCTAGAAGAAGACAGAGTTCGATATGCCTTCAGCAAAGCGGTCGTTGAAAGTTCAAAGCGAAGCGTGGAAATTGGTCAATAGAAGTCAGATGATGCATTAGAGTAGATGTTGGGTCTTGCGACCATTCCTTATAACACGCAAAGAGAAATCGGGCGGTCATGTAAATGGGCCCGGAGTTTAAAATGCACGTTGCTTTTTTGCAAGAACATACATTTTTACTAGATATCCCAAGTTGCAGTTCATCGTTCATTTGTCTGGCCCCGATTGTTTTTGCCTTTGAAAAAGCTGAACGTACATATTCTACGTTGAGCGACAATCGCTCTCTACTAAGTGCTTGTTCCAACATAATTTCCTTCCTCTATTGAAGTCAATTACAGATTTCTATGATGAAGACACGAATGCTTAGCTGTAACGTGGATACTTTGGCAACTGTTATATCTCTTGGAAACACCATTCAGAGTATACGGGAGAGGAACCAGCCGCCACCTTTCTGCTGTGAGCGTCCGTGACACAGATGTGGTAAATTGTACCAGGCACGGTAATTCCACGTTACACATGACAGGGATAGCATGAGAGAAAGTCAAGTCTCTTTGAGGAAAATGGTAGATTCAATCAGCTTTAATTTTGAAGAGTTCCACAAAATCTACCACCATCGTCATGATGCAAAACGGGATCGGCCCGCTGAGTCTACCATGGATACTCTATCTTCGATATCTCCTGCAACGATATGACAGACCATTCTGGCGCTTCGAGCTCTCATCTTTTCTTAAAATTGCATGCAGCCTTGTCAACACTCTTTTCAATATTCTTACCACCCATTTCTCCAATTCATCTCGGACCAAAGCTAAGTCCAGCCATACAGTGGCCCCCTACCAGAGAACACCTGTATAACGCAATCTCTACCATCTGCGAGGTTCCGCATACACAACGTTGTACGTGGTTCTGTAGGCCGCCTCGGCTTGGGAAACTGTAACCTCTTCTCTTGTGTCTGTGGACAAAGGCTGATCATGATCGATTCAGGTACCCAATGACGTTCCGAAGAGACCGAAAGTGGCTCCATAACTCATATTTATTTGCTACAAGACTTCTTCTATTACGAAATACTGAGAATCCGAGATCAAGATGCTGGTCTGTACCGCCTTGGTTAATTGAAGGACATAGATCTCCGAACCAAATACTTGTGTCTCATTATTGTGATTTCCCGTACCCTTCATATTCATCATTTCTTCATCTACCACTCTTCTTCATCGATATTCTGCGACCATCAGTTGTTGGCTCTATATACTACTCACTTGGTCGATTGAGTTTCGAATTCGAAAATGAAAACATTCTCGCTGGGCCTCGTTGCCCTTTCTACATTTGGCATACTTTCCAATGCCAGTGTAGTTCATATCGCCTTATCCAATGAAAAGGTAGAGGTGGATCTTGTTCCTGAGCAGGAGAGCCCACAACAAAACCTCAACGCCCCACCAACAAAGAATCTGACACTGGAAGATCACCATGTCAATCTTGATTATGAGATTCACGGCGGCAATCTTACGGTAAGTCTACAACTCCAGGGAACCATGCTCATGAATTCGAATATCTGATCAAGTTCAACATAGACTAGTGGCAAATATCTCAGCTTCAAGAACATTCCTTATGCTCAGCCACCACTGAATGAATACCGTTGGGCTCCTCCGCAAGATATAGAGGAGGAGAGTCCAAAGATAAACTATGGGCCAAAATCTTATATTTGTCCCCAGACCCCTCCAGGCTGGGTGGCAATTGGAACGAACTTTGTTGAAGGATTCAACAATAAAACCTGGAATGCAAGATGGGAAAAGCCAATTAATGCCAGTGACTACGGCGCAATTCCGAAACAAAGTGATCTATGTATGAACCCCTCTTTTTCTTCGCTTTCATATACTGATTATGTCTACTTTAGTCAGTGAGGATTGCTTGTTGCTGGATGTTATGGTTCCAAGACCGTTGTGGGAATCTAGGGAGTATTATAAAGGTAAGCCACGTGGATTGCACAATTTAAGTTCAACGGAAGGGTATCTAATTCGTGATGACAAGCTCCTGTCGTGGTATGGATTCATGGCGGAGAATTCTTAGCTGGAAACAAGGAAATGAATGGTAGCCCAGAAGGTCTTCTCGAAGCCGCAGGCAAAGATGGCGATGAAATTATATTCGTAAGCAAGAAAAACTCTTTCATTCCGATAAATTCTCTGACCCTACTTCTAGGTCGCTATGAACTATCGTCTCGGAGCCTTCGGCTGGCTCGGTGGAGAGAAATTCATGTCTCAAGGCGGTCTGCCTAACCTTGGGCTTCACGATCAAGCTTTTGCTTTACAATGGGTGAAGAAATATATTGAGCGTTTCGGTGGTGACTCTGAAAGGTTCGATACCACTAGTACCCCTCTACTTCACGTCTCATTAATAGAATCATAGTATTACCGTCATGGGACAAAACTCCGGTGCTTCATCTATCATTCATCACATCACATCCTATGGAGGAGACAAAGACCTTGCACCGGATTTCGAAGCTGCCATCATCCAGAGTCCAGGTTTTTACCCACAGGCAAATGGCACACAGGACGACCAGACCTTTGCCACTTTCCTAAACCTGACAAACTCCACCGATCTTCAGAGTCTCCAAAAACAGAACTCGTCGGTTCTGATTCAAGCCAATCTAAACATGACTTGGAACTCTTCACCATACGGATATTACGCTTTCGGACCAACCGTAGACGGCCGTTATGTTCCAGATCTCCCAAGTCGGCTTCTCAAGGAAGGAAAGTTTCACGGAAAGATACCACTCTTGATGGGACATGAGAGACTTGATGGTCTCCTCTTCTCGCCTCCTTGGATACGTACAAACCAAGCCCTCCAAGATTGGTTCGTAGAAGTATATCCCGGTGCACCAAACTCCACACTGGGTTTCATAGCAAACAACTACACCATCCCGGGAAAGAAGTCTCCTCCTCAACTCACCCTCATTGGCGTTTCCGATTTTGTTAACGTAAGACGGCTTCTACTATTATGAAAAGGGCACATACTGACAAATCCAACAGCACATTTCCATCGAGTGCAACAACTACTATCTAACCGAGGCCTCCCTCAAATACTCATCATCCACTCCTGTCTGGCGCTACATTTTCAACGCCCTTCCAGCAGTAAACGGCTACGACGTCGGTTATACCGTCTGTCTCCCACCCCTCTCTTTACACCCAACATAACTAACCAACTCCCAGTTCTATCCCGACAAACCCCCTATCTCACCCGTCAACGTTCCCCTCGCAAGCTTCTTCCAACAATCCTTGGTAAACTTCATCCGCAACCGGGATCCAAATCCCGAGAAGGGAACCGCCTCCTGGGATCGATACAAGCCCTCCAAACGCCGTGTTATCAACCTCGGTAAGAAAGACCAGCTTATAGCTGACTACACTTGGGAATCGAGAGACGACACGATGTTGAGGGAGAAATGTGCGTTCTGGCAATCGGCTCCGTTTTACACCCCTCCTCTACCGCCACTAAAGGAACCCAACAAGCCGATCAAGGAGCCGGGGAAGAAGCCAGAGCCAGAGCCAAAGCCAGAACCAAAGCCAGTACCGGGACATGATGAAAAGCCATTGCCAGTCAGGCCCGAGCCTCACCCTGAACCTGAACCTGAACCTGAACCGACGCAGCCGCTTCCAGAGCCCGAGAAGCCAAATACAGACAGCGGGGTCTTGGAGATTGAAGATGATGTTTATGAGCACAGAGAGCTGATCTAAATCGCTGGTTTCGCTAATAATTTGTGCAACAAAAATTGGCGTCTCTTCTAATTTATTAAATTGCTCTTTTCTTTTCAGTATACGCAGAGACGGTAGTTAGTGACCCATTACCAACAAAATATATTTGTATTGACGCTTGAGATATTCTCATTGTCGTGTTGCTGTGTCATTAAAAGTGACGGGATCGCCTCTGAAGTGGAAGTGGTTTACAAGTAGAGCAAAGTGGCGAAGAGAGATCCAAATCTGTATGCAGCCATCGAACAGCAAGCTCTCGCTTACCCACTACCTTGCCCCTTACCATCGTGCCACCACTTATTCACGCCAGCAGGACGATCACAAATAAATACCTGTGAAACTGCCTGCTCCCCGCCCCCCAATGTAGCGAAAAAAAAGCTTTCAAAAAGCGAGAGTAAATCTTACTATCTATCCAATAACTCACAATTCAACAACAAAACTAATCACCCGCAAAAAGAATTGAAATAAATAAAAAGCAACAAAACATCTCATCCCAAGATACAATATCCAAAGTACTGAAAACACCGTACCATACCATAGCACAAAGATCAACCTCCCATGACCCCTCAAAGCGCAAAACAAAACAAACTAAGACTAACATCCCAACTACCCCTTCCCACCACATCACAAGACTTAAACCCCATCCATTTCCATTAATTACTAAAACCACAAGCCATCCCATATTCTGCACCAGAATCCTCTTACCACCTCAAAGCCAAGTTAACCCTTACAAGCATCCTCGAATTAGATTTTCGCTAATATGAAAGGCGAGAGAGCTAATATAACAACCTACCTAACTACCCTTTCCAGAGATAACTTATAGTAATTAGAATTACGGCGATGTCTTTGTTAATTTCCTAGCTTACTTGTCTTGTCTTCTTGTCTCATTTTTGCGAATACATATACCTACGATAGAGAAAAGAAAGGGATAGCGACGACGAATAGAGGACTTTACCAATTATTTACTAGGAGTTAATGGGCTATCAGAATCAATGTCCTCAAAGCTCATAAGACTAGATCATCAGAATCAGAATCAAAGCAGAAGCAGGAAAACCACGAAGGTAAAAGGTATATCTGCGTCCATCCTTCCATCCTTCCACCCGATCCACGAACAAAAAACCCACATACGCAATACTACATAAACACAATATAGTAATACCATAATATTTCTCTACTCTACTTTACAATAACACAAGACCATCACGCATCAACCATCCCTTTCCCTTTCCCTTTCCCAACACTTGACATTCAACACTCAAACCCGTCAACTGGAATCAACATACCAATAAACTAAAAAAAGAAACACAGAATCCAACAAAAGATCCCTCTTCGAATCCCGGATCATCAAACTCCCAGCTGGGCTCGATACGACCTTTCTCACGCAGTATTCCCAGTGATATATCCAGCACTCTCATCGCCCCAAAAGCCCAAAGAAAACAGAAATCAAAAAAAGGATGAGGAAGAAAAGAGAAGAATGAAGGAAAGAACTTTGTTCAGCGCCGATTATTCCAACTCCCATAAACCCTAAGTTCAAGATCGTTTATACAAAAAAGAAAACAGAAGATAAAAAAGACACGCTGAAATCTGCCCAAAAAAGAGAAAAAAAAAGAGGGACAGAACGCAACCAACCAACCAACCACAAAAGGGAAAGCTCAAGAAGGAAAAACTCTCAAAGTCTCGATCCACCTCATCAAGGACCATAATACTGCTCCGGCGACCTCGAGCCCCTCCCATTCCTCGAATAAGTAGGTGCCAATCCCGCTGTCGGACTCCCCAATCGCTCAGGTCTCTGCCCCGTCGCCATCCGCGTAGAATACATGGACGGGTTTGGTGACGCAGCCGGTGCCGGTGCCAGCGCCGGTGGTTCAGACGACGGCGGAGGGGGAGGCGGAGGAGATCTTGAATAATGAAGCGGTGCCGGAGCTTCAGCCTGCGCCTCCTCCAACTTCTGCATGCCCAGTCCTTCGTGTTTCGTATACCCTGTCGTCATGCGGTAATGGCTGCCATACAGCTCGACGGGTTCGGGTGCGGTGATGAGATGGTGGTGGGACTGTAGTGCGGGCTTTTGACGGTACGGGTGCGAGTGTTGGCTTTGTGGACTGAAGTGTTCTTTGGGGACTTGGGGGAGAGCTTTGGTGATGGGCTGGGGACGAGGGGATACGATTTGGATTTGGTTTCGGTGCTTTTTGCGGCGGATGCAGAAGCAGATACCGACAATGAGGGAGGCTACGAGGAAAGCTCCTCCGATGGATATTCCTGCAATGGCACCGGATGCTAATTTGATGCCGGACGAACCCTGCTTGTCGCTGGGAAGTTCTCGTGTAGGAACTCGGGTGGTTGAGCTACCATTTTGTTGGAAGTAGACCTCCAGTTCGGCATTCCATCCGTTGGGTGGCCTAGTGGTTTTCGCTCCTCCAAGTGGACTGTCACAATTAGCCAAGAACGAACATGATACCAAGACTGGATACTTACGAGCCTCCAATAACATTGATGACCTCAGGAGGCACCTTGTATGAAGTGATGTTGGGATCATAAGTATTCCAAGCTTTACCACTCACTTTCCCCAGATCCGCATTGTGAACACCCCATGTCTGTGGGCTATCACAAGAATCGGTAATGGGAAATGTACCTCCAATAACCAGCATTTGTCCTCCACCCACAACATTGCACGATAACGAGTGATGTGGGGATACGGCACCAGCTGGCGATTTGTAATAATTGATCCATTGGAACGAGGGGAGCGATAAGATCCACATATCATCAAATCCAGGTCCATTGTCCCCAAACCCCAATCCACCGTAGAGGTAGCTGTTAGATATCAGTAAAGGAACTAACTTTTAGCAGGAGAAAGTACGTACATATTATATGAGGTGCGATCAGCAGACCAAGCAGAATCGGCGCAAAAACGTTTTCGATTGGGTGGAACATCACCCGTTGCTGGTTGGTTATACCATTTTGTGCTCCGAATATCGTAAATTCGAATGGTATTCATAGGATTAGGTGTTTGAGTGCCATTCGGTCCAACATCAACTCCGCCAAAATGAACAAGTAACCCATCATCACTTGCTGGGACATAAACCATAGCCCCTTCAGCTCGACCTGTTTTATCGGGGCCTGTGATATTAGACCATTGATTCTTATCCATATCGTATTTGATGAGACTGTTGGTGGCCATTGGCGGTCCCGTCCATCCTGCTACAGACAGATTGCTCAGCCATCCTCCATAAACAAAGCCTGATCCGATAGCCGAGGCACCCACTGCAGCTCCCCAAGATACACTCTTAATATCGCTAGTGGGAGGACCCATCGTGTTCCAATGATCGTTTATGATGTCGTAACGGTAAACGTCTTGTGGCGAGGTAGGCAGAGAAGCGTAGTTGTCGCCACCAAAGAGATAAAAGTACTTGTTAACTGCATCTGCCCAGAGACTTCCACCACTGAGACTGGGAATCGAAGCGTTTTTTGATAAGTTTGCAAAGAGCTCGGGCATCTCAATCCCCTTTGGACTTGTGGTCAAGTCATGGTATGAAAGAAATGTATCTTGAAGCGAGGTCAGTATTCATCCCATGTCTCAATTCTTGACTATATCTAGTAAATATAGCTCGTTGGGAGGATAAACTTACTCGTGACATTTGTAGGGTTTTCCTGTATCGAGTTGTAATTGACCTGTCCTCCATCCAAGAAAAGTTTCTTATCGACTACTGCCGTTTGATGTCCAAATCGTCGACAGAAATCCGTCTTTGGGTTCTTTTGTGCCATCACCACCTCCACAGATACTAACATTAATCCCAGAATAGTTGACACCATCGTGAACAGAGACTCTACTTAGTGGTACGGCGACAATGCTATAACCTCGCAGCAGTAGACCAACACCTTTTCGATTGAATCGTTACCAACATAGACTGATGAGTGTTAATGCAAAATATTTCGAGAGCCAAGGGAACAACCTTGATTGCAGAACCTCGCTTCAAAGGAAAGAATAGAGAAGAATAATGGGTGTGTTCTATTTTGAAGGATGAAGGGGGACAGAATTCGAGAGTGAGAGAGAGAGCAGGAGAGGATGAGAATGGGGGAGGAGAAGAGCATGAGAGGAAGAATCCTTCGAGGACGTGGAAGGGCAAGGATGGTGTCGAAGGATGAGATATATCTACCCTGGCCTGACTAGACGAGGACTCGACAATTTCTCAGTGGAGTGGCTAGAAGGCTGGCAGTGGCAGTGGCAGCCTGAGTGAGCACCCATGAGAAGATGGCCATATCCATCACCGTAGATAATCATATCATGGGGAAGAGGCAAAAGTTCCCATGCTGCCGCGTTGGTACCTACTCTCTTGCATGGGGACATTTTTCCGTTGGTGTTTTCTGCTTCGTCTGGGCGCCCAGGAGGATGACTGCAGGGGGAAGGATGAATAACCTCATCCTCCATTTCAGAACCGATGTACCAGCGACCTTCCAACGCACCGCCACTAGATGTGTGGAACAAGTCCTGATTCCTTGGACCCTCGTCCTCATTTCATCCGGTGTCCTCGATCAGGGGAGGCCTCATTTCCACGCGGGCGCTCAAGGTTCAGGAGAGCTGCTGACTGTGCAAAAAGCCCCAATAGCAAAGAACGGTGGTTCATGGTGCCGCATGCTCGCCGTCGCCCCCATCGCGTTCTCTCGACGGTTCCTGCAACCTTATGTCAGGAACGAAACTGGTGCAGACACAGTCGGTGCAGGAGGGCAAGGGCGGTTTCAGTTCCTGGTCGAAGGATTCGTCGAGGAGAGCGAGAAGGATTGAGCCTCGTGCCGATTTGGGCATGTGTAATTTCATCACTGTCAGACTGCAGTACATCCGGCTGCGGTTCAGAGTAACAGTTCTAGTGCGCTTGTACAGTACAGTACAGTATGATCCACGATTGGCATCACAACAACACTCGTATGGAGAATAGAAAAGTTCACGACGCTTCAAAGGCAGTCACTATTTTCCATTCTTTAAGCTGTCTGGCCAATGTCGGTTGGTTGACGGTGGAGGCACAACCCAAAGGCGGCGCTAATCTGACAGAAATACGATACGCACGGATCATGGGCAACGGCGCAGGGAGAGAGAATCTCCATTACAAGAGTCTGTAAATTTGTGGCATCGTCATCATCACGGAGCCAAAGAGTCTGTACAAGGAGGTTCAGTTGGTTGGTGGATGTTTCGGCTGATGTTGTACTGTAACTGCGCTGGTGGGATGTGGTGGGTATGGGTATCGGGAGGTCCAAAATAGAAAGGACGGGAATTGTTAGTATAGTAGTACCTAACTTAACCTTTTTAGTACCGAGTTCATTAGCGCTAAGTGCCGCAAAACCATAAATCATGTCCTTTAGCGCTTAATTTTATAACTATGCTTAACGTGGTTTATCAGCGAGTCGATCATATCACCGAGTCGATCACTTTTTCTTGGCACAGAACTTTACACCTAAATAA